TTGGTTTTGTTTTAACAATTATCAACTATTTTTGTTTGCTAAGATCTATTATTTAAATGTAGACTGTATTTGTAATAAAGGGATAAAGGATATTGCGAGAGTTTAATTAAAGAAAAATATTTGTAAGGAAGAGAAAGATCCAGCTGGCTAGCATTTAAAACGCTCACTAGGCGGGGGTTTAAGATCTATGAAGGTGAAAGAAGCGTCCCAGTAGCTCAGTTGGTAGAGCACCTGTAAGTGGTGAGCGAAAGCGCCTAGCAATAACTGCCAGGAGGTCGCAGGATCGAAGCCTGCCCGGGATTAAACTTTTACCTCGCTCTTGCTTATTTTTGTACGATTATTTCAAAGAGGGGGCAGGCAAAGGTACCTTGAGTTAAATTTACTGGCGAGCTCTATAAGTTCGTTCAAAACTATGAAACAAGGAGCAATTGGCCACTCGTCAAGATCCATCGAAACATACCAGGGCGTTACGCTTTCGATAAGTTTGAAGGAAGTTATATCTCGGCTGTACATTGGCCTCAAGGTACCTTGGAGTGTACCATTTAAAAGTGTATTTACGAGAGGAATGCCTTTCGCTTCCATCTTTCGCCTGTTTTGGTGTCTCTCCTTTACTTTTTAAAATTTGTTTCGATACATCTGTGGTATTTCCTAAAGGGAGTATTGCTTAAGAACCCATCACTACCGTTAAAGTGAGGGGGCTATTTACTATTTAATCTGTATTTACCGACTGTTATTTAATCTTAAATCTAATTTTTAATTGTGATAAAGTTGTTTTTAGTTTATTTCTAAAAATTCTTATTTATTTACCCCTTCAACAAACATTTGAAGAGTCAACATTAAAATATCCAAAACACAATTTTGTATCAAAATTCGACTGTGTGTTTTCATTTCTTTTGGTGTTTTAAAAATAATTAAAATAATCAGAAGAATATTTAAAGGAAAACCAATTAATAAACAAACAAAATAATCAAATTTAAATAAAAAATCAAGTAAATCAGGAGACATTTTTTAAATTTGAAACGTTAAAAAAATTTTTTTATTAAAGCTTAATTTTTTTAATTTGAAGTAATTTTTTAGAATGTTAATAGAAATGTAACAAAGGTAATAATTTTTTATTAACAAATCTCTCACGCTAATTTTAAAATACAAAAAATATTTGTGAGAAAATTTTGTTTATTATAATAATGAATTTGTCTGGAACTTGTTTACATTTTGAAACGAAATTATTTTACAAACTTTTAAAGTACATTTGGACTTTTAACAAAAAATCCAATACTAATGCCTTGCTGAGGGTCTATTGATCAAGGAAACAAAAAATACGGATCCAGTCATGCTGGGGGTCGGTTATTAACCGGTGCCCCGATTTTTAATCTAACTTTTAAAAACTCGGTTTTCGATTTTAATATTTAGTCAGATAAGACTGACAGATAAGACTTTTTTAATGCTTTTAAGAAGGAAAGAAGATCCCCCCCCCTCCCCCACTAATATATACAAAGCGGATGTTGTTCATTTTAACAGAAGATTCGAGAATTAGTCTACAACAGTGTTTACAATAGTTATTAACCGGCTCTCAGGTTTTCGATTCTAACCGGTTTTCGACCCCTGTTTTCAGTTAAGATTTGGTTAAGTTAACAACAAACTGTCAATTTGTTAGCATTTTTACGACGATTTAAAATAAAATTTGACAAATTTAAAAAATTTAAAATATTAAAAAAATTTTTCCTTCTTCACTTAAATAAACATTAATTTTAGCTTACTTAAATTTTATTTTATTCCCAAAAATTATTTTATGATGAAAGCCAGGTATAAAAATTCTGAACTTATTGTTGGAAGTTTTTACTAAAAATAATTTTTATGAATTTTTTTGAACTAAAAATAATTTTTATTAATTTTCAATTTTTATTTCCTTGTTTAAATTTGCCTGAATAAATATATTTTTAAAAAATTAGATATATTTAAATACCCTCCTCCCTCCCCAAAAATCAACAAATACCTAATTAATAAATAATTTTTAAAAAATCCCTTCTCACAACCAAAAAATGGCTATTAATTCAATTAAATCTTTGATTGTCTTTTTAATTTATTTAATTGTTAATTTAATTCTTTTGAGTGTCCCTTTTGTTGATTCGATCAAAGAAAAAAATCCTGGAAGTGGACCGTCAGGTGAAGGAGGCCGTCCAGGACAAACTAATGGAAATACTGGAGGTCGCTAATTAATTGAAATGAGAAGAAAGAACATGAGAAAATTAAAAAAACAGGTAGAATCCATGGATGTCACCTTTGATATAAAGCTTCTAAATGATTAAAAGAGACCAGAGGCCCTTCTTTTCAGCTTTAAGGAAAGTCTTTTCCTTTTCCCTCCTTCTTTTATCAAAAAGGAGAGAGGACTCTACTCCGAGCAGCTCTAATCAGAGTTATCCCCAAACTGAGACATTCTATAAGCTTTATATCTATCCGGATTCGACTGGGAAATATTAAAATAATTAAATTACTGTCATTCTATCTATTCTATAATATTTAATTTTATTTCTTGAATAATATTAAAGAATAAAATTCCTTTACTTTTATAAGAACAAATTTTTTAATTTTTGAATAAGACTGTAAAAAGCCAGGTTACATCAAATGAGTATTAGCGAGCCCTGACTATCCAACCCAAAATGAGTTTTGGGAATTTTTTAAATCACTTATTTTGTTGTGTAGGGGTGTCACTATCGTATAGAAGCTAGTGTCAGCGGCATGATCATATTAGCCCGATAGTTCTTTCAGTTCAATCTTACATGCCTACCTTCACCTGCATTGTATTTATACTTTGGATAAACCGTTATTTTTGTGCTCGCCGACTTTGGCAAATATCCGGTAATCCTTGGACATCCCAACTTTCCAAAAAATTTTTGGTTTTAGAAGTTGCTTGCCGAGTCGTTACTCTAAATCTTATCCATTTATTTTAAAAATTTATCTAACCTCTTTTTATCTTTTTTTCTGACCAAAGATTCTCTTTACATTTATTTAAACAAATCTTTTTTTTTAAAGTAAAAAGTAGAACACTTTAAATTGTTAAAATAAATTATAAAAAAAGTCTGCGCGACGTTCATTCAATTAACACAAATTTTTTGAAAAAGCTTTGATTTACGCTTGTTTGATTTGAAATTAATTTTTAAAGGTGATGATAAATTTTAAATAAAGATGCACAGAAGATCGAAGATTATAAAATTAATTTTTTCATGATAAATTTATTGAGGCTTAGGTCATATTTCAAGGTCTTTATGAGGTTATTTTTGTTAATCAGATTCTTCAAAATAATTATATAGTCAGATCTTGTTATAATATAACCCCTCGGGACAGAAAAAATCATAGATTATACTTGAGGTATACTACATATTGTGGTCATGTCCTATATCATTCTGCTAATCATTAGTATGTATTATTAACGAGATTTTACTGTATGTTGAGTTTCCTAAGAGATCTTTCCAAAGATGACGTTAAAAGTATACTTGTTGCTTTAACAACAATTGAGATTGTTTGAGATTTTTGAACCAACTTGTTCATTTTGCATTATGTTCCTCTCACTTTATTTGGGACTAATTCAGATTACATAAGAAATAAATCACCTATTTTCGGGAATCGGGACGGCACGATTCCCGTTATGTTTCTATTTTTTAAATCACAGAATAATTTTACTTCAAAACATACAGTATTTGACTGTGAATAATAACGTTTTTTAACCTTCCGGTCACATTTTGATCTTAAGGGTTAACCCTATTATTAAGAAAGCCGTTTTACTCTTTGCTCTATCTAAAAGAGTTCCTGGCCAAAAAACAAAAATTAAAATTGATTTATTTAAAGCTGGTTAAATATCAAAAAATAATTCAATATTTTTTTTTTAAATTTTTTTCTTTAAAAATTAATTAAAATAAATTAAACCGCCAATTTATTTTAATTTTTAATTACGCCGGAATTGTTTAAAAGAAAAATTAAAAAAAGTTTTTATTTATTTTCAATGACGTTCTTATACAAAAACAATTTTAAAAAATTTATTTAAGCATTAAATCAACTCAAACAGAAATTTTAATTAAAGGGGGTTTAGACGCGTAAAACTCGTAAATTTAGAAAAGTGTGGGACAGAAAGAGATGAATTAAAAATTAAATAAAATTTTTTGAAAATTAAATTTTTTTGTAAAATTAATAAAAAAATAAAATTAATTTTTAAAATTACATATTTACTTAAAATGATTATTCTAATAGAAAGGACAAATTATCTAAAATCGGATCTTGATTCTATGCCACCTAGAGTTACGTACACGCTCTCCATTCTTTGTGTACTCCTTTAAGGTTGTTACAGGAAGATTTCTAAGAGATTTACTAGGTTATTTAAAGGTTATTCCTTGGCCTAATCCTAAAAATAATAGCGAAGTCAGTGTCAAAAATTTATAGCTCAACTCCTTCAACGAGCAATCCTTGAAGTATTGATGTAGGCAACACTATGGCACTGAAAAACGCTAATTAGAAACCTAAGTTCTTCAATATTTCTCAAAAATTAAATATGTAAAAAACAAATTTAATTATTGAAATTTAAAAGAAATAAAAAAAACATTTTTTATCAATTTAATTCATTCCCTTTAAATTATTCAAAAAATTAAATTAAAATTAAAAACAAAAAAATTATTTACGTCTCTGACTAAAATTTATATTTTAAACAAAGAATGCGTGCAATCAACACGCAATAAAAACAAAAAAAAAATAAAAAGTTTTTTTTCAATAAAATTATTTTTAGTAGTAAAATCAGCTGCGAGTTTATATTAACAGTCAATAAAATATCTCTTTTTATTTTAATATTTTTACAATTTAAATATATATACCTACTTAATAAAAATAACACAGTCACTTTAATCGGTGAAAAAATAGAAAAAGTTGGTATTAAAATGAGACTTTTACAGGATTTTATGGGATAAATTCACTGTGATCCAGAGACTTGATGGAATAGAAAAAGTTTTGAAAAGTTTACCCACCGGGCAGGATTCGAACCTGCGACCTCCTCGCAGTTATTGCTAGGCGCTTTCGCTCCCACATACAGGGCTCTACCCTTGAGCTACCGTGGGCTAACGACTCATACTTTCTCTCTTTTACTTTTTAATCGTTTAACCTCCGCCTGAGCGTTCTAAATGCTGCTAGGTGAATTATCTTTACAAAAATCGCAATTCCGGATCACGCATTGTGACTTTGCAATTTCTATGTAGTTGGAGGTTAAATGTGACTATCCGGGGAATTTGAGAATATTTTGAGACCCCCCCCCCCTCCGTTTCTTCCGTCTCCCATGGTGGCTGCCTAGCCGAAAATTAGATTAACACGTGAAGTGTAAAATATTATCTCGGTTATTTTTCTAATAATTTTAACATATTTTTTCATTTTTGCAAAATTTTTATTTTTCCTATTTTATTTTCTTTTAATCTTTTTTTACAAAGTACGCGTGTAATTTATTTACTAGAAACTAAATTAATTTTGTTTGATAAAAGATTTATTTATTGGGAAAACACCAAAAAATAAATAAAATAATTTTCTAACCTTGAATAATTTTTCAACATAAAAATTATGAAAAAAATTTTTTTGAATAAAAATTTTTTTTGACTTTTTGACTTTAAAAACGGATAACTCACATTTTTTAAAAGTGCATTTATTAAAAGAAAAGAGTAAAATCTAGTACAAATATTAGTCGAGATACGTGTATTTATTAATCTTTAGAATTTCACTGCATTGCAAATAGAAGCTAATACCCAATTGATCAACAATTAATTTTCAATAAACATTAGATCCCTAAATAAAATTTTCGGTTTTCCGAAAATTGGATTGAATTTGGGATTTAGAAAAGCATGCTTGAGGGATTTTCCTGGATTTCTCGGAATTTATCCTTGCTCTTTGGGGACTTTTTTGATCTGGAGACCTGATTGTACCTAATATTCAGAGATCAATCAGATACATACCGCATTATCTTCTCTACCAGGTTCCCTTTAAAAACTCTTATTTCTTAGACTACATATTCTCTCGGATCAACCTAACATGAAAATATCACTATAAGAACATTCCAGATAACCTCACTTTTGATCTTTAGGCTAATTGATCCCCTGGATTCTCCCAACTCTACGTAAAATAATTTTTATCGTTTCATCGGCATCTTTCCCAAACACTTATTTGCCATCTCCGCTTTTCAGTTTCGTGCTCTCTCACATGGAGGTCTTCGATTGATTAGATCTATTAAATTTTTTTCCCATTTTTAGTCTTCTAATAACAAATATTTTTAGCTCCCCCCCATTCATTCATTCAATTTTTCTTTCAATTCTTTCCCCTCCCTATTCATTCCCTCCGTTAGTCAAGAGTATTATAATGTGCCCTTCACCCTTATGGCCCCCCTTACAACCTTTCTAGACCGCATATATCCTATTTCTACAACGTTTATGTGTAAAAATCTTCTTCTCCCCGTTAGAGAATCGATGATCCTTCCTATCCAATTTTTCTTCATTTTCTTCTCTTCATTTTTACATTTTTTCCTCATTTAAACTTGTCAAGAAACAAAAATAGTGGCAGTGCGAAAATCGTTTTTTGTTTCTCCTCCTCTCTCATTTTCCCCTCAAAATCCCCTCAATTTCTGTCCCGTTTTTTCCAACAACAATTCCTTCCCCCCACAACAATTTCTGTCACCTTTCTCCTCTTCATTTTCATCACCTCACTTTTTTCCTCGTCTAGGCTGAGGATCATCATCAGCCTTTAGAGAGAGTGCCTGTCCTCTCCCTCCCTCCCTCCTCTTCATTTCAATTTTCTCCTTTTAGTCAGTCAATTTGTGACGATTTTTCTAAAAACTAACTAAACTTGTCACGAAATAGACAACAAACATTTTTTTAGCTTAATTACAAATTTATATATGTATTTTTTACAAAAAAAATATTTTTTTCGAATTTTTAAATATTTAAAATATTTAAGAAACCTGTTGTCTCTTTTCCCTCAAAAAATACCTTTAATTAAAATATTTCTACTAAATATGTGCAAAAAACGTAGTTTAATATGTAGTAATAGGAAAGAATCTGAAATCAACCTTGAAAACAGAGTTATTTTTTTCGCATGTTAAAAAATTATACCACATTGTATTTTCGGCTTCTAGGTTCTGATCATGCTTTTGATCTAAAACTTTTATAGAAGATTTATGAACATATTATCTTTTTCTTTTCATTAATTTCAAAATCCTTAAATCTCAAAGTCCCATGCATAACTTTGGACATGCAATAAAACCTCTTGGAACATCTACTACCTCCATATACTGATCTAAGAGGATATATTGTATTTAATGTTATACCTCCTTTTATTTGATTTTTAAATTTTCTTTGGATCTTCTCGTGTCGGTCGGACGATTTTGGGGATTGAGCCGGACTCGAATCCCTGTTAGCATTCATGAGTGGACTAACACTACCAGACTTGGTAATAGACATGGATTTTGGTATCCGTATCCCGATATTTACGGCAGATACAGCCGGATATTCGCTGGAATTTTGAACTTATCTGTATCCATATCCGTATCCATTACCAAGCCTGAACACAACCTAAATCCTTCAATTATCTTTCTTGAAAATTTTTAATGTTCATTTTTCTATCTTTATTTTTTAATTTTGTATCTACATATTTTTCAATACTTAACCTCCCCCTTCCATTAAAATATTTACACGTTTTCACTTCCAATAATTTTTATTTAATCCATTTATTTATCAAATTCCTCTGTTTTCCAAAAATACAATAATGCCCCAAATTAATATAAGTAAATTATGACAAAAAAACAATTTTCAATCACCAGCTAATTTACAAAAATAATTAAAGAAAGGGGTGGTAAAATAAATATAATTATATTTACAAATATTTTTGCCCCCATTTTTTCTTCAAAAAAATTTTTTTTTGAACATCCCCCGCCGTTAAAGAAAAGATTAAAGAGAGAAAAATAATGGATAAATGACCTTTTTGTATTTTTAATTATTTCCTTTCTCGATTAATTTTCTTTAAATTTTTATCATCGCTAAACGGTCAACATTATTAAATTAATATAATACTTTTGACGCCAGCTGCGCTAATATCTAAACAAATAAAATTATTTTTAATAGAACAATGAAGAGGAGAGAATGGCATTTTTAATATTCTTGTTCTTCTTCCAATTATATCTTCACACAAAATTCCTTTCCTTTCTTTATCTTCCTGGAATGTCAAATCCTTTTAATTATCCTTCCCAAGCGTCAGAAACACAATGCCCATTGTCAAAAACTATTTGTCGCGACAATTCACTGAATTAGACAATTCACGATCTGTCAAAATTAAAATAGTTATACTGTTCGAAACTCTTGATCTGGAAATTAATTAAGGATTTTCTTTAGGTATCTCAGTAGTACCCCAGGGTTGCAGTCTTTTACGGGCCTTAGAAATCACATAAAAGTTTCGTTGATCTTAGGTTTTAAAAAGTTTCGGGTTGGGATTTATGTTAATTTTTTTATTAGATGCCATCTTAAGTCCATTGTATAGGTATCTAAATATAACTGAAAATCCTCGATAATAGATACCCATTTAAAGAATGACCTGCCATGCTCTAGTATCTTTACCAAAAATTTTATTTTAAAACTTCCCTTTTTGTCGGTGAATTGTAAAAACGGTGAAATGCCCCAATCCTCCAATCACTTTATTTAATTTGTAGAAATCAATCCCTTTTACTACATTTAATATCCAGAAAAGGAATCCAGATTCCTTTCCTTTACAATTCCACAATCTTCTCCTCTCTCCCTTCCTCCTATCATATTCCCCTTCCTTCCCAACAAAAATATATAAATTGCAGCCACAACACTGATTGACCTATTGAAGCGAACACAATCGCAATTTAGCAGAAAGGAAGTCAAAAATAAAGGGTAATTCAAGTGGAATGATTGTGTGTATGTGTGTATTATTAAGGGTTTCTGACAAACAAAGGCAAAAAAAAATAAATTTGTAGTGATCTTTTTGTGTGTAAAAATTCTTTAAATGGAAGGGAAGGGAAGGGAAGATTTTTTTATTAAAAATATTTATTTTAAATGTAGCAAAAATAAATAATTGGATTTGTAAATGTTTGTGTAAAATGAAGAAGCTTTTAAAAAATAAATTGTTAAATGGGGAAGAAAAAAGATTAAATACTGGAACCCCTTATTCTAAACTAGAAAAGTTGTTTTGACTTTTAATCCTTTACCTTTTGACTTTAAGCCGTTTTCACGCGTGAATGATCAGAGTTCAATAATCCACACCTTACCAGGGGTCGAACGGAAATGGCGAAGGTGCCGAAAATCGGAACTGTCGGAAATCGGAAGGAAAAAACGTTGGAAATCGGAATTCCGATCGACCCCTGTTCCCTTACCACAATGCATATGAATATGTTCTCTTGTAGGGATCGACACGATTCGGTATTACTGATAACGACTCGGTATTTATTTTTTTAAGTCACGATAGGATTTGAAAAATTATGCGATTGTCATTATCGGTATTTTTCGATAGATACCACAAATATCCACATTTGCCGAACGTCATTTAGGGCTATTAGAATCGGATTCGAAGGAACTTTAGCTTAAATTTATTTTTAAAGCAAAGGGCGTTGGAAGTCTTTTAACATTCTTTTCTTATTTTAAACTTTAAACTAAACTTGGGAAAATTCTAAAAAAATTAAAGATAACAATCATTTCTTAAAAGATGGTTGTTCTCAATAAGCTTAACATTATTTTTGTATTTATTTATTTTAATTTTATGTTGATCTTTCATTTTTATTAATCATTTATTTATATATTTTTCCATGAATGATCACAAATTAAAAAATTATTATTTTTAACAGATAAATAAAAACACAAATTTGTGTGGTATAAATGATTAAAAATAAAAATTCTCTCATTAAAAACCAATATCTCTCCTTTCTGTTCCTTTCACACTACCCCTAACCCTCATAATAAAAAGTGGCGTCCATCCCTTCCTCGGAAGCAAAAAATGGAAGGATATGGAGGATATGGAGGACATCTGCCTGCGCAGGGTTTTTGCCGTTCTTCTTTTCTCATTTCTAGTCTCTTCCCTTATTTCCTCAATAATTCCCTTCCTTCCCTTCCTTTTAGTCAATATAACCACTCTAAGTACCATTTCGAGTAGCTATCGTCATAACCTCCTTCCCTCCTTTATGGCCAAAATAAAAACCCAAACGAAAAATGGACATTCACTCTTTATTTTGCATAAAAATAAAGGCTTGGCTAGGGAAAAGGAGATCGATTTGTCCAAAAATAAATTGGTATATACAAGGTCGCGCAGGGTAAACCACATATTTAAAGGAGGTTTAAGGATTTTTATTAAGAAGTTCTATTTTATCCCTCCATTTTTATCCTATTCAAGTTTAATTCTCGCCGTCGTTCCTCATTGATAAGAGGGGATTCATGTTTCTCAAAATTCTCACCTTTGGGTTCTTTCCATCGTGATTAATCTTTATCTTATCCCGAACTTTTTTATTCTATGTATAATTATTTTATTTCAAATATCCTAATCAGTAATAACCAACGCCACAAAACTTTCAACCTGTTTGAGGTTGAAAACTAATTTTCATTATTATGATACAGATTTACTTATTTTATTGGAACTGAAGACTAGTTTGGTTCAGTTTTATGTTGGTATCATTTTTCGTATTGAAGAGCTGGAACGTACACAAAGATTGTTTGGATGTTCCAGCTCTTCATTACAAAAAATGAAACGAAAAATAATTTATCTCCAGCTCGATTTTCTTTCTAATACTCAGTACCAACTCATCTTTTTAAACCTATTTTCTTTAAAAATAAATTTTTATATAAAATTATTTTCAAACATTTCAAGCGGAAACTCGCGCCTTGACCAGCTCTTCATTCATTCATCCAAACAATCTTTATGCGCGTTCTTCCCCGAATGACCTTCCTTCCTCTGTGGTCTTCTTTGTCTTTATTTATTCATTGTCCAAATAATTTTTCTTTGTTTGATCAACTTTACTTTTCGGCTTTTGTTTTTAGCTTTTGACTTTGCTTTTCATTTCAATTCACACAATAATGCCCTCTCACATTTCTTTCAGAATTTCACTTTATCCTTCTCCCTTCATCCTCCACATATCCTTCTACACATCCTTCTTCATTTTCCTTCATTTTCCAAGAATCATTATGTCAAAACAAAAAGCGGTTCTTTTTCCCGAATATGATCACTCAATCCATAACTAATAAATATTTATATAACCCTTTACTAAACCACCCACAATCCCTCCACAAACACATTTTCCCAAAGCTATAATATTATTGCTCATCATTTTTGTCAGGATGATTATGTCGCCAATATTCTCTTCCTTCCTTTCTCTTCACAATTTTTTCGGCCCTGTCACTAACCAAACTCTAAATATGAAAAGCCAGTTGACTGAATATAAACCAGCCGCTCCCCTCTTTCTCTTACCTAAAAAGACTTTTTCTCTTCACTTCCTTCCTTCCCTTCCTCTTCTTTTTTCTTCATTTTTTCATCTTTTTTGGCTACGCACACAAATTTCGCATAAATATTCCGCCTTTTTACGCCCCGCCTCTTTTTGCTCTTAAAAGTTCTGATCCCGCATTCTTCCGCCATAAAACCATCATTTCTTTAAAATAAATATATAAATCGCGCGAGGATTTTCTGGAAAAGGAAAATTATATTTTCTTAAAAAAAAATTAATTAATAATGCCCCCTTTACCCCAGTTAAATCAACAAAATTTATTACAAAATTCCACATCTTCCCCAAATAATAATCAACAACACCTAAGCAAAATTCCAACAACCTTGAGAAGGTATCAAAGAAAGTCTCAAAATTCTAACGAAAAAAGAAGAAGATTAACTTTAGATTTAAGTCTATATACGGCTGTAGCCGACGAAGCAATAATGTTTAGTAGCGTCAATAGTAATACAACAATAACTTCTTCAACAGCAATAACGTCTTCTACAACTTCAACTTCTTCAAACTCCTCAAATGGAGGAGGAGGGGGTTGTCATTATAATCTTCCTCCTCTTCCCTCTCCAGCTACTCCTCTTCAAACCTCCAACACCCATTCTCGTGTCCATTCACTTTCGAGATCACAAACCCCGACAAACAACTCTTCCCCAATGAATGGGTCAATGACAACAATATTTAGTGGAACAACCCAAACATTGCCTAGAGAAAAACCTCTAGCATCACCCAAATGTTTTGGCAAAAATACTCATATTCTTAAAGAAGAATATGATAGAGAAAGGCAGCGGTGGGAGAAGAAGCTTGAAGAAGCTGAACAGAAACTTTGTGAAGCTGCGGCTAATAATGCTGAATTGTTTCAGACAAAGGCTGAACTTAATAGAAAAATTATTGACTTTGAAAAGAGCCAGGCAAGAATTTTTCTTGAAAATTTTTTAAATAAATTAACCGATGCAATACCTTATTTTATTGAGCTGCTATTGTTGAAATAAGGACTAGGGGGTTTCTAGATATTTTTTGGGTTGAGGTGATGGTCTCATATGGATATCTGTATAAGATGTACATGGATAGCATTAAGGCGAGAGTGATTGGGGGCACTCTCGCCTTAATGATAATTAAGGCGAGAATGACAGTATAATCCATTAAGGATATAAGGAGTCAAATAAAAATATAGAAAGACCTATTTGAATGGAGCCCTTCTAGAAATTAAAATCTCGTTATAAGAGACATGGGAATAATCGCGCAAATAGTCTCTCATCGGTGGATAATCACTCAGACTAGTCGCATATTGTTTGATATATATAGTACGAAATATGCGTCTAATAATGCTGTAACTAACTATGGCTAGATATTTTGAAGAATGTCTGGCTTTTTGGATCACTAACCTACAAAATCCTTGATAAATCAAAATAAAATTTAAATTTAACGACCAAAAATTAAATAAACATTTTTTATTTAGAAACCACTAATAGAACAAAATAAGCGCTTGAATGACCGTCTAAAAGCAGCCACCACAGAAACCAAAAAATTGGAACAAAAGATGGCTTTTGTTCAGGATGAATGGTATTTTGACAATAAAAAAGAGAATTTTCAAAATAAGATTATTTAAGGCTAAGCCTTAGGGATCAATATGATAGGGTATTAAAGGAAAATGAGGCTTTACGTGAACAGGTTGTTTAAAAATAAATAAATTATTGTTGAATTTAAACATTTGTAGAGGGCATTTCCTGAAAAATTGGAAGAATTGGGGCGCTACAGAAATCAAGTAAAATTATTTTTCATAATTTAAAAATTTGAAAGTTTTATTAAACCAAACAAAATCATTTATGACCCTCTAGATAACTTAGGAATTTTTAGGATCGTTGACTAATGATGAGGAGGGATGATTAAAGATATCTCTCTCTTATTATTAGAAATATAAGAGGGTCCATGATTACTTCGGAACTAACCGAGTCGAAAAATTTTACTCGCCTGAAACTTTTTGCTCAAACTTGCACCCTTTGCAAATACATATATCGGATTTATTTTTTTCCTACAAGTCTTATGAAGGGATTTAAAAACCTTCCTCCTATTTTGGCAATCGTGGAAAGAAAACTTTAATACAAGGACCGGACTGGATAAGATTGTCCGTTCTGGACATAGACCGATCTTAACATTTCATAATTTCTCTATAAGGTTCTCGAAATGTCCAAATGTATAACAGCACTTCGCCAATCTGCAGCAGAAAAAGACAGAAGGCAAGAAATGTTGATAATCAAACTTAAAAGACTGCGAATGAGAGCTTCTGGCCAACAAGAAAGTGACCGGCAAAGTTGCGCTGCTGGTTCTGAGGGTTCAGTAGAGGATAGTGGATCGCTTGGATTAGATACTATAGCCGAGGATTTAGACGAAGATGTTGATTTAAGTACAGAATTGTTATTAAATGGTAGAGGGGCTGTAGGGGAAAATGTTATATTGAGACAGCAATTGGCTACAGCGAATGATCAGTTGGCTGAATTGCAGAGGGAAATTGATAATGCTAAGGCAATTTTTTAAATATTATGTTGAAAAAGTAGTGGACTGATATATGGTGTAATTGTTCCTCCGATACCCTCGGGATGAAGACGCGGAACGAGTAATCAGTGAATTCTTGTCAGGAGGGGAGGCTCTAAGGAGGGTGGGGGATGGGTGGGGCTCTAGGGAGGATCTTCGCCATCCTTATTGACGGGGGCCGAACCCTACTTTTAACTGACCACTTCTATTTTGTAGATAGACAATGCTAATCACTTGGAAGAATCTACCAACCATTTTAGGGAAGAATTAGATTCTTTTAGAAAAAGAGAGAGACTTTTACAACAACAATTAGCTAATGTTCAATCACAGAATGAATTATTAGAATTTCAATTAGTTGAATTAACTGAAGGAAGACAACAATTAGAAAATGGGGAGGTTACTAATATGGGCAATAGAAAGGTACACATAAAAAGGGGCAATAAAAGGACAATATTGTAGCATCTTGTATTTGATCAATTAGTGGTTTGAAAAACTAACTCTGAAAGGATTATGGAGGGCTAAGGGGATTCAGCTATTCAGGATTGGATATATTAGGGATGGTTTGAATCATCTGATTTTGGTTCTTACAACCTTTGGAGTGGGGGTGATCAAACGAAAATCTATATCGTCTCACAGATCTCGACATCATATCTCTTTATTACGTCCGCACGATTAATACGTCCCGAGGCAACGTCATTTCATGATTCGTCGGATTTAAGGGATCTTTTAGCCCAGATTATTCGGTTGATCTCCGTTATAATGCCACTACCAAGGAATGGCTGTGGATAAAATTTAAATATTAAAAATAAAATCAAAAAAATTAAAGACAAGCTGCTCAGAAAGGCAAACAATGACCGATATTTCTGTGTCGATAAAAGAAGAAAATGAGAAGGAATTTGAGGAAGAAGATAATAATGAATGGAAGAATTCTGTCGGATTAAATAGAAAACGTGCCTTAGATCCTCGTAAAATCGAAGTTTTAAGGGGAGGAATGAAACGAGCTTTTGAATTTTCGCTTCTAGGACGTCCAGAAAGGTGTGCAATAAAACAAGGATTAGCAGCAATTGAATCTCTTCAACAGGTGCTTAAATTGAAATTGTGGAAAATGAATTTAAACTCTCGTTATAAGCGACTTTCTATATCCCGGAGAGGATTTCCATTTATATAGGGTTGTTTCATATTTGTCTCTAATAGCGAGCGTTGATTGAATAGACACCATATTCAATGCTTATAATCAACCTTCATTACCTCTATTTAACGCAAAACCTTCCATTTTACGGAAAATTTAAGCTGATAGATAGTAATTGTTAATCTAAGAATTACTAAAATTTTAGTAATTTCGAAAAATGTCCGACTAACGTAAAACAAATGAGTAAATTGTGTAATTATTCGCTAAATTTGATTTAATAATTAAAAACAGCCTGAATCAAAGATTTTTAAAATAATTATGTAAAAATAAAATTTAAAATTAATAGCAATTAAATTTTGCTGAAACTGAATTAAATATGTCAAATTGTGAAAATGGAAGATTACAACGAGAATTGGAACAAAAAGATTTAGAAATGAAAAAACAGAAAGATGAAGTGCAGAATGAAAGGCAGCAAAGAAAGCGTGAATTGAAGGCTGAATTGGAATTGTTGAGGAAGGAGGTAAAGGAAAAGAATTTTTAAATTAAAAATTTTATGAATTTTAAAAAAGAGTGTTCTCGAAACTCTTTTTAACCGTTAAGGCCTTCTTATTTTTAAAATTAAAAAAAAGGAAAATGACAATAAATGTCCCAAATATCCTTAAATATGTACGAGAATTAGCGTTTAAATTAGAGGTTGCAAAAATCAAAATATGCAAAATCTTTATCAGTAAGAAGAAAAATACATAAACACAAGAACTCATGAAGATAGTCGGTAGTTTTCCGTTCTGTCTCGGTCCTCAGGAATCTCCGTGTAAAAAGAGTGGTACCGTTCGACTCAGACCCCTCATTACCCTAAATAAGACATTTTGAGCATTAATTTAGGGGGGTGTGGCAAAACGGAAAAGTACCAGATTGTCCTTAGTATAGATCGGGATCAGTTTGGATTGAAGATCGGGAAAATGAAAAAAATTAAATTCAAATAAAACCCAACCCAACCAATCAAATTTTAAATCTAAAATATTTGAAAAAAATTTGATCAAAGCCTTGATTGACTGATTCTAACTAGGCTATAATATCAAATTTTGAGACCCATAATATTACTAAATTAGAATTTATAAATTTAATTTTTCTAAAAAATAAAAATTTTTTAAGAGAGTTGAAGAATCTGCAGCCTATAACCGTCAAGTTGGAGAATTAAGCAAAACTTTGAATGAAAAAGTCCATATAATTGGCGATTTAAATGATAAAGTTGCCCAACTTGGAGCGTAAGTTTTTATTTAAAAAGCTTGAAAAACATTTTTTCTTAAAGAGAATTGGATATTTGCCGTTGTCAATTAATTACTTCACAAAAAGAGGATGTTTCTTTAAAAGCTCAAAATGCTGAAATGACTAAAGAAGTTAAAAGGCTTGTTGAGGAATTGGAAAGGGTTAAAGCTGATTTGGTTAAAGTTATGGAAGAAAAACAAAAGTGAGGATTTATGTTAAAAAATTGCTTTATTAGAGTCAAATCTCATTATTAGATACATTCTTATGGTTGAAAAGGATATAAGTATTTCATAATTAGAGACTTATATAATGAGATACTACATAATGAGCATCTAAAATAAAGGGTATCGGGTAGATCCAATACTTTGCCGCGGTGCCTAAACGCTCGTACCAAAATTCTTACGAGTACCTCGCACGAGTTCGAGCAAATGTTGACGCACGAGCACGGGGTACAAAGCCATAATTATGAGTGGTACAAAATACGAATTGAGATTTTTTGTTTGAGTTGGGTTTTGAAAATTTCTGAGAAATTCTGGATTAAATAAATTAAAGCCTAATTTAACTCTTTAAGATCATTAAATGAAGCAAATCAACGAATTATGTCAATTGAAAAATCTAAGGCTGAAGAACTTAAAAAACTTTTAGATGAAAAAGAAACTAATAAACAACAATGTAACCAATTAAGAATTTTAAATAGAGAATTGGAAGCACAATTTAATACACAAATGGATTTAATTGGGGCTTTAAAAAGGAAATTATTGGCTGTATGTTTGTAATAATTTTAAGACTAGTTTGGACTTTTTTTATCTGAAATTAGACCAACTGCTCTTTATTGGTCCAATATATTTCAGACCGAGTCGGACCATTTTGATAATTAATTTGTCGAGTATCTCTTATCCTTATGATCAAGTTTTGTTTTAAAATATGTCTGTTCATCTAAATCATTTCCGGAGAAACCTTGACAACCCTTCTAGCATGATGATTGGGGATTCTAAGGCCTCCATATACTTGAGTAGCTCATACTTTTAGGATGAAAAGTTTTCTTTATCTCATAATGATTTCATAATTCATTTCGTCAAACAAGTATTATACTTGATAATTATAATTGAATCCATTTTTGCTAATTAAGTATGTGCCGAAATATTCCAGGTATTCCCTGACCCGTTCTTTTTTCTTACTTTTTCCCCTTCCACTATTTTTTATCTAATGAATAAAAAAAATTTAAAATTAGCAGCAATGCGAGCCTGGAAAGCCTTCATGGGCCACAGCAACAGCCACCCGCAGTTGTGGCTCTCAATCTACAGAGGATGAGCAATACCATTCTGAGGGTTCTGAAGAAGGTCTTGGCGGTGGAGGTCAACAAAAGATGACAACAATAATTAGAAAATAAATTAAAATTAAATTTTAGAAATTTAATTATATATAAATATAATTATTTATTGTTTTTTTCTATTTTTAAAAAAATTCCCTCAAGAATTTGTGGCAATTATTAAATACACACACATTTTATCATTAAATAAATGCCAGACTATTTACAAAAAATTTAAAAAAAATTAGCAAGAACAAATTAGTAGAAAATTGTGTTTTTTTGGGGAGAAGACCTTGGGAGGAAAGGACGGAGATTAAATTCTTTTCATTGTTTGGAGTAAAGGACACTTTTTTTTGTGTTTTTTATCTGTATTTGACAGCTGCTAATAAGCTGCCATTATTATATTTATTGTAACCAAGATGAATTTTCGCGGATTTTTTCAAAGCACGCACATATTTTATTAAATTTCATTAGAATCTGAATTTATATTTAATGTTTTATACAGTCGAAGCTCGATAAAACGTCAAATTCGGGACCGAATTGAGCTGACATTTTAATAGATCGAGGGCTTAATTTGAATTGTGATGACGCGATAAGCTAAGAGATGATAACGTGAAGTTGAGCTATCGAGATTTGATTATTTTTTTATTTGCTTTATCTATCAACCGCACTACCGTATTACTAAATCTAGTTAGCTGTCTTTTAAAATTGCTAAAAAATAGCCGGAGGTAGTCCCACTTTATCGATAAATCTCATTGGGCCTGAATCTGATCATGATATAGTGATGACTAAGGTTGTCGGTTTTGACCTAACAGACCCGAACCGAAAACCGAGGATTTTTCGGTCCGGTTTCGGATACCCGAAGAATTTTTTTCAGGAACAGTCAGCTCTAGTGATGACCCTATCACTGATTTGTCCACACGTTCGATTTGCCACTTAAAGCAACGCAAAATCCTTTTATTATTTTTATTTTTTTGAAATCCAGATAAATTTTCTATCCAAATTTTATTCAATTAATTTAACAACCGTAATCATTTTCTTTTTGAAGACCCAAAAAATAAAATAATAAAATAATTAAAAAACAAAAAAAAGTACACAATATCCGGGCACAGATGTTTCCCTAGACAATTAAATAAAATAATCAGATTTTTATTAATAAAAGGCCCTTTTATTGTTTAATAAATAAATAAATATCATTTTGTTGTTTATAAGGAAAAAATGATGTAGAAAAATTCACTATTAAATTTGCCGTTAAATAAAGGGAGGAGGGGGGGGGGGGATAAGTACAACATCCTCCTCTATATATTCCTTTTTATTTTTAAATTTTATTTTTTTTCTTTAAAAAAATAAAATTTGCTTTTTAGTAAAAATCTTTTTTTATGAAAACAAAAAATTATTATTTGTATATTTTTTTGAGTAAATATGAAGGCGTTGTTTTGCGTAGAAAGGGGGATATATTTTTAAACTTTTAACACTACTTCCTTATTTTTTTTAAATTTATTTTTGTTTAAAAGTTGAATAAATTTTCTATAAATATACTTGATATATTTAGTTTAAGCTTTATTTTTATGTTTTATTCTCATTTTTTAAAATATTTAAAATGATTGAGAGAATGAAGGGGAGGTAGAAAAATTCCATTGGAACCGAAGGGTTATCCTTATATCTAATGACATTTTTGGAGGGACATCCGGATCACTTATAATAAGAATAACATAAGGAAGGAGAGTGAGGGGGATGAGGAATGAGGGGAACGAG